AGGAGCATCCCTTGTTCTAGAAGCTTTTGGGCTGTCACCTTGGTAGGGCGGCCGTTCTCATCTGCTCCTAAACATTTCAAAATTCCTACGTTGGGATTGTAGAAACTTGCTTCCGCTACATTGGCTGTGGGAAGAAATGGCCGTGATTCGGCCTCTACCATCTCCCAAAAGCCTGGCCCTTCTGCGCTTGCCTCATGATACACAGCCACTTGTTGATGTAGGGTGGAGGGTATAACAAGACTTTGGTGGATCCAATCTCTTCCAAGTAAGGCTATGTAGGTGGAGGTGCAGTCCACTACAAAGAACGCCAGCATAATCTGTTTAGACCCTAGATCTACTTCTAAAGGCAATATCCCAAGAGTCTTGGTGATAGCGCCCAAGAAACTAGAAACTGTGAGGTCTGTAGGAATAAGATCCTCTATGCCTCTTCCCAACTTTTTCATCTGCTTGGCTGGTAGTACATTAACAGCTGCCCCTCCATCAATCAAAATCCTTTTGAAGGGCACCCCCTCCAAATGAGCTGTTACATATATGGGCTTCAGATGATTGGCAAGTGAAATGTTCGGGCGGTTTAACACCATTTTGTCTGTATAGATCCTTAAAGGACCTTCTTTGAATGCTGCAGATGATGCAGTATTTCCCAACTCTCCTTCTTCCGCTGCCTCTACACTGACATGAGCCATCATCGGCTCAGTTATTACATAACCTCCTTCCATGGCGGCGGGTTGATTTGGTTGGGCAACAAACATGGCAAACAGCACATACGCCATGTTTACATGAAAGTTGCTAGGCTCTGGCAGTTCTTCTTTTTTGCTCCCAATTTGGTCCATGAACTCATCCAACCACGCCATAGCATCTGGTGGAAGCAGTGGTTCTGGTGCCCCCTTCAGTTGATTCACACCTGAACATGGTGTTTGTTTTGGAACTTCCCCGAGGGGATCCTCTAGTGATAGAGAAGGTTGTTTTCTTTCAGGTGAGACTGTGCCAAAACAGATAGGCTGTTCCGTCTTCCATCCGGGAGTTGGCACCATAACCATATTCTTGGGCTCTCCTCAAGATTCTATATTTTCCAGGGTGTAGGCTTTGTGGCACATGGTTTCCTTCGCCTTCAGTCTTGCTGTTAGCCTTTTCCATCTCCTTCTTACTTCTCCAGTGAAGCTGACTACTCCCCCTAGATGATGTTTTCTTCAACTTTTGATTTTTGGATGCTTCCGATGTTGCTGGGGATTTCAAGGAATTCATGTAGGCTTTGTGTTGCTTCTGAACTCTTCTGACCATGAAGGCTCCCATCTTCTTAACGGGCTGTCCATTCTTCCCGACCACATACCATTTTCGCCCGAGGCGGGCAGGATTATCCTTTGTAACAGGGTTTGTTATCCTGTCATTCCTCTTGACCTCTCTTCCCATATGGCTGTACTGAGAGTGCCCTGTACTTCTTTCTTTCGGTTTCTTGGCATCTTTATCCTCTGCTTCCTCAGAAACTTTATGGTTACGAAATATTTCTGATAAAGCCCTTGGTTGGGAATCACCTCCTAACCGTTGAAAGACACTTCGGGAGGTATCCCTTCCTGCAGTCCACCAAGCTTTCTCTTGTGCCTCTTTTCTCTTTTGTTCTTCATTCCTCCTGATTAGTTCATGATCTATGAAAGCTCCCGTGGGCGGTATTTCGAGTTCACACTCGCAATGGCACTTACTGCACATCACCCTTCCTTTGAATATGCAGCTCTTGGATATTCAGACAAGTTAACCACCCCTTTATGGGTTTGTCAACCAGTCTTCTTTCTTCTTCTCTTGTGACCTTCTCTTTCCTCTTCTCTGCCCAGGCCATACTGATCATATTTATAGGGGCCTTTGAGAAGGGATCCGTATGTTTATCCGTCAAGGCAGCTTCTTCTAGTTGGTTGGTTTCAAATCCCTTATTCTCCCCATCATCTTTCTCCTCGAAGGGAGGTAAAGACGTAGGAATAGGTGGTCTTAAAACCGGATCATCTTCTTTTTTGGAGCCTGCGGATGTGTTCTCCAGTTTTTGTAGCATGTGCAATAAAGCAGTTTGAAAATCTTCTGATCCCTTTGACATATTGCTTTGATCAATGATAAATCCCACTGGGCGTGCCAAAACTATGTTCGTGGCGGGAATTTCAGTGGGGGATGCTTCCTGTCCGACGAGCACACAGCTCCCCGAGAGGTTGGCGCCGGTTGATGCTTTCTGTCGAGCTTCTGCTTTACTGGTGGGCTTGTCGGGCAAGGCTGAAAGAGAAGGACAGAGTTAACTTTGAAAGGTGCCTTTGTGAGGCCTTAGGTGTAGGCCTTGAGGCTCACAATCAGGATTAACCTTTAAGTGCTCAGGCGTCCCACTGCCATCTTCAGCATGGCAGATGTAGAACGGATGTTTGAGTTTAATTATATATATTCGCGAAACTATGTTAGTTATTGACAGGTGCCTTTGTTGGGCCTTAGGTGTAGGCCTTGAGGCTTCCCATAAATAACTAACTTAGTACTCGAACACATAAGATTCCTTTTGTGGGTTATATGGGTCTTATAACCATCATACTTCTGATTACCTGAGCTCAAAGAGCAGAATGAATCCAAATAGGTGCCTTTGTGGGGCCTTGAATAGGTCTTGAGGCTTCCCATGAGAACCCCTTCTATACTCAATGTTCTTGCCCGAGAAATAGGGTGAATCCAAATAGGTGCCTTTGTGGGGCCTTGAATAGGCCTTGAGGCTTCCCATCAGAACTCATCCCGTACTCGAACGCTATATGGTAATCATAATATAACAGCAATAAAACTAAATGACAGGTCGATTACTTGCGCCCCAATTAACTTCGGACTTCTTGTTATCAAAGCTTGTAGTGGATGAGTTAAGTCCACATCAGGTTCTTTTTTATGCCTTGAGGCCAAGGACTTTTTAGAATGATCAAATCTTATACCCGAAGGCTTAGAACTTGGATCTGGCTTGAACTGTGAAGACATTCAAATCGGATTCAAATGCTGAAAGAGTCTTTTAATAGCCATATTACTAGAAATAACTTGGATACAACTTGTCAGGCAAGGCTGATCGTCTTGCAACTTCCTATCTTTGTGGTTTATCAGAAGGTTTGAAAACTTAGAAAAAGGGTTGGGAGGTGATTTTACAGAAAAGAGATCGATACTACAGCAAGAGTTTAACAGGGTAGCAGAGCTATTACAAAGGGTTTATCCCGAAGGGGATGAAGGCTTGGGCTGACTACAGCTTCGTTTTGAAGGCAAATCTGGCTTTGAGCAGAGTTTGTGCTTGTATTTGTTTGTTTGAGTGTCCTTGATTCTGACTTCTCTTTCTCCTTTTATAGACACCTTGGCTTGGCCTCCTGTAGCAATAATCTTGCCCGAATGCAGTTTGAAGGATAGTGACTCATCAGCTATTGACTTGTACTGCCATTATAAAGTACTTTTTGGGCTGATTAGCTGGCTGGTCTATACCACTTGGCCCTTGGGTAGGTGAGCAAGTGGTGCCAATGATCTGCATCTAGTCGGGAAAGGCCTTCTCTGCCTTCTGGGTTTTGGGCTGAGCTTCGGGCTTTTCTTTCTCTATTTGGGCCAACTGCCTTCTTAGCCCAAAGTTTAAGTTTTAACACAAACAGTCCTCACCTCTGAAACTAATAAATACATCATACTTCTCGCGACGAGAGGGTCCAGAAGGAGGAGAAGAAGAAGAAGATGAAGCCATACCTCCCTATCCACAACCTGCACACCTACAAGTCAAAACATGCAAATTGGCTGTATATGAATAAGAAATGAGTGATCTTTCGACAGATAATTTATGCAACAGCAAAATTCAGTTGGATTACCTCCGGAGTCCAGACCAAGATAGAAGTTGCAAAATATTACGACCAAAACAACCTAATTAAGAAGACGTTGCACTGATCACGACGAAATTAAGCATGAGAGCTAGAAAACAGTTGCAGAGATCCCTTTATGTTTTAACATTTGTAGTGACTATTTGCACAAGAACAATGTAGGAAAATCACCAGACGTTAACAACCAAAAATAATTAAACTTAAAACTAAAATTAAAAAAATAGAAAGGAAACTTCCAAGGAATTCAAGCCATCCAACTCTGACTATCTGGTGGCAACTCAACAAAACTGCACAAATTTAAAATTATCATGACAACATAACGAGGCCCTTTCGCACGGTTTTCGAACATTTTGCTCATTGTTTTTCTCTTCGCAAAATTCTCAGTCTTCCAGCTTGACGTGTGCTCTATAGAAGAAGACCGTACTTTTTCAATGGAGAAAAAAAAAATCCAATTTATACGCTATTTGGTATTTCAACTAATTTCATGAAATGTTTGATGTAGAATACGTATCTTAAATCGCATTACAATCGAATTTCGGACGGGAATGATTTGTTTTATTTCTTTCAGTACATGGGAGAGCAGAAAGCACAAAACAAGAAAGACTACCACAGTTTTTAAATTAGACTACCAAGTCTACAATAGTTTTTTCTCTACAATCGAGCATAGTTGATCTTGCACCTCGAGTTTTGTTCCCTTTCGGGTACTGGTCATCCCCTTGTTTCTTACAAGGACTCAAAGTATCACTTCCGCTTGCTTCAGACTCATCACAACTTCTCAGACTTTTAGTATCTTCCGCTACTCTTAGCTCCGTCACGCGACATCAGATTACTTAGTATCTTCAGCATACAACAGGCGGACACCACACCTTTTTACCTTCACTGTGTATGAGTTAAGTGGTCTGTCATGATGATCTTTGGGGTAGAACTCAACAGATGCCTCAGTGACACCATTGTGAAGAGCAGTAGAGCATTGTGCTCCCCCCACAAGGTCAAATGTATTATACCACACAAACACGTGGTCCGAATTGAAATTGTAGCCGTTGCTTTCTTCACCTTGGGTTTCACCCCACAGTCGATCACACAAACGACAGCTAAATTCATGGCTTTTACCACTATTCCCTTTGAGTGTGGATTTACATCCGAACTCCAATCCTTGTTCAACATATAGTTGTCAAAATCAACAAGAAGAGAGAAAACGAAGCCCAAGAAGTCTGACCCAAAACAATTTGGAGGAAGACTGATATTTATCGAAGATCCCTCATTTTGAGCTCCGAACCAATTAGGAATTTCATTTCCTGGACATACAATGGTAACTAAAGAATTTCCATCCAACGATTCCACATTGTGTGACGCCGCCATTCGCAAAATTCGAAGATGTGCGTCGTCCATTATGCTGTTCCGCGCATTCTCATCCAATTTCAAGCAACCAGAAAATATAAGTTTCTCGGGGATCCTACCATAAACTCCATGTTCATAATCATCACGACCTTGTACAAGTTGAGTCCTTAAACTTGACACTTTCCCCAGAGAAGTGCAACCATGTGCTTCCAGCCAACGTACCCCTGGGAGCTCGGGTAAAGATTGAAGGCTTTTGCAATTATTTAACAACAGGCAAGACAGCCGAGAAGCTTGTTTGATGCTTGCTGGTATCCACTTAACCATGGTTCCTCTTAGATCTAATCCTCGTAATGAGGTTAAGCAAACGAGGCGATCAGGGATTTCTAATATACCGGAATAACTGAGAGTTGCTTCTTCCAAATCGTTAAAGCCAAATGAGGATGAAGGCAATTTTTTAAGTTTAGAACAGCCATCAAAACTGAGAGTTCTAAGACAGTTTAAATTGTAGATGCTGCTTGGGACAAACTCAAGCTTCTTGCACAGACGGAGATCTAATGTTTCAAGCCCAATTAGATTTTCGATTGATGAGGGCAGCTCTTTAACTGCTGTCCTTCTTAAACTAAGAAACTCTAGACGTTCCATAGGCTCCAAGATTTCAGGGAAACAGTTGAATCTACAGCACTCTTTCAGGTTAAGCTTCCAAAGGGATTTCAACTTACAAATGCTCTTCGGGAGACTCATGAATCTTTGGCAATTTTTCAAGTCAATGATTAGGAGATGAGAGAGAAATTCGATTGATGAAGGTAGCTCTTTAACTGCTGTTCCCTTTAATGAAAGAAACTTCAGATGTTCCATAGGCTCCAAAATTTCTGGGAAGCATTCAAATTTAGAGCAACCAGTGAGATCAAGTCCCTCAAGACATTTCAACTTACATATGCTCGTAGGGAGACTGACGAGACTTTTGCAATCTTTCAGTCCAATTTCAGTAAGACCAAAGAGACACTCAATTGATGAAGGCAATGTTTCTATTGCTGTCCCATTCAAAAATAACTCTTGTATATCCCTAGGAAGTTCCCAAACCTTGCGAAGTGATGAGCAGCCCTCTATACTAAACCGAAAGGGGAATTTCAGCTTGCAACTGCAGCTTGGAAGATTCTCAAGATCTTTACAAAATTCGATATCCAGGTGAGAAAGATTTTCGTTTGACCAAACTGATGAAGGCAATTCCTTTATTGCAGTCTCTGACAAATATAAGGTTTTAATGCTGATTGGCAACTCCGGAAGATATTTGAGATTCGAGCATCCTCTCAGCCCAAGAAAACTAAGTTTGTCAAGATATTGAAAATACGAAGGAATTTCAACCAAACTTTTACAGCAACCAAGATTTATATGTTCAATTTTGCGACTCAGGGAGAGATCTGGAATTTCAGTCAGGTGTTTGGAGAAGCTAAAATCGATCACTTTTAAATTCGCAAGTTTCTGTAGAAAGAAAAGAGGAATGACAAGAATGCATAACAAAGCCAGATAATTCCACACTAAGTTTTTGACAAGAACTAAAATAAGAATATACCTGGCCTTTACTCCAAAGCTGTTCGACTTGACTGTGGGCCATTTGAATGTTAACGAGATTTTGAGGAGAAAATTTTGATGGAAAATATTTCAAAGGGTATCCCTCCCAGTGAAGATAACTAAGCGTATCGGGAAGAGACTGAAGACCTTCAGGAACGTACAATTTGCTGCACTTATTGTCCAAGCTAGAAGAATTATAGATCTCCAGCACTCTCAGATTATACATCTTTTTGAAGGCTGCGGGATTCAAGTGTAGCTCTTTAATCTTAGACATATTAAAGAATATGCATTCAACTGTTGCAGTTCCCTGACAAACAAAAGACCAGAAGTATAAACGAGGATGCAGTAGACAACAAAATATTCTGATTTTTTTTTTAATCATAAATGAGTTACTTCTTGGTGTCTTTCATAGAATTCAAGATTTTTTTTTCTTTTTTTTTTTTATAGAAAAAGAAAATGAATGCATTTGGCTCTTACTGTATTATTCTTCAACACATGAGAGACATCCTCCTTAATGAATAACCTACTGCGTTTTCCGGGCTCCTCAATACACTGCTCACGAACCATTTCCAGTCCCATTTCTTGTAGTAAATCATGCATTTCTAGGCAGTTCATCTCTGAAATTGAAATGAGAGACTTATCAACGAGAACTTTAATACCTCCTGCAAAAAAACCACGAATATCTAACATTTCTTTTGCAAGACGTATATCCATCCCTTTGTAAAAACATGCTATATCAAGAAATATCTCCTTTGCATTTTTTTCTAATCCATCGTAACTTAGTCTCAACACATTCTGAATTTTACGGTTGGGAAACTTTTTCAACTCGTTCAATTGATCTTCCCAGTCTTGTTTGCTCTCACAGTGAAGGAATAAGGAGCCCAAAATTATAAGAGCTAGTGGTATGCCTCCGGCATAATCGACCACCATTCTTGACAACTCTGTATAATATGACCCCATAGAGTCATTTTTGAAAGCGTGCAAATGAAAGAGCTGAAGAGCTTCATCACACCTTAATCCCTCAACCTTGAATATCTTGTCAGCATCAGCCATTTTCTTAAGTAGTCGTCTGTCTCTAGTTGTTATAATGATTCGACTTCCGCAACCAAACTGAATATCATCACCAACTAGAAGTTCCAATTGGCTTGAATCATTCACATCGTCAAGAACAATGAGTACCTTTGTACGGCTGAGCCTTTCTCGAACAAAACTTCGTCCTATAGATGGAGTGTCAATATTTAGATCTTTTTCGTTTAGTATCTCACGAAGAAGTACATTCCGCAAGTGCTTTAGTCCATGTCTTTCTGACTCCTCCCTCACATTTGGAAGAAAACATGAAGCCTCAAATTTAGAAGTGAGTCGGTGAAAAACAGCTTCAGCAAGGGTAGTCTTGCCAATACCACCCATTCCCCAAATACCCACAGTGCAAACATCTGGTGAATCAATGCATAATAATGATTCAATTTGCTCAATTTGGATTTCAATTCCGACCAGGCCCTTTAAGTTGCTTGACGATTTGTGGTTCAATTTGCTCAAAACATCTTGGGCAACTTTCTCAACAAAATCGGCCTCTGTCCTGGAAAATATGATTGTGCAGCACAAACAGTATGTATTTAGTATGCCTTAACAATTATTGTAGTAGAAATTGATACAAGTTAGATAGTTAGTTACCCTGTTTTGTTTGAGGCATCAAACCCAGAGATATCGGCTGCATCCGTCAAAGCAGCCCTCCACTTGAGCACCTTGTCCATACTGTCCTTGAAACGTTGTTCAAGTTGAGCAAATGCATCTCCATAACTCCCCTGCTGTTTTCGTACATGGGATGGATCTATGCCGTAAAAAATGGGTACAACAATCTGTCCGTATCTATCCTTGCATTCTAGTATATGCGCAAGTTCCTCCAAACACCATGTGGAAGAAGCATAGTTTTTCGAGAAAATGATGACCGAAAGCTTTGATTTTTCGATTGCTTCTAGAAGGTTAGGTGCAATTTTATCACCACTCTCAAGCTTGTAATCAATGTAGGTCTCAATTTTCTTCCGAACTAAAGCGGAATAGAGATGGCTGGTGAAAGTATCGCGGGTGTCAACACCTCTGAAACTAAGAAACACATCATATTTTTCTTGATAGATGATATCCGAAGCAGAAGAAGAATCAGCCATATCATTCATAAACTGCAAACCCACAAGTCAAAGCATCATACTTTCACCATAACCAAGCTCATTTTTGCCAAATTCATACATAATACATATTGATTTTACCATTTTTTCTTTTCAATAACCGAAATAAATTACAACGAAGATCCTCTCCGGATCTTAAACCAGAAATTTACCATCTTTTTTACTATATTAAAGATACAACAAGAGATTGTGTTGTCATACAGAACTGTCGGAGCGTAAATAAAAAGTTACAAATTGCAGAGAGATTAAATGCTAAGTAAGAGACAAATGTAATTAAGGAAGGATGAACTGCACCTCAGCCTCAGGAAATTATTAAGAAGTTGAAAGTTGCAGAGGGATTACCTTAATTTCCACTTTCCGGGAAGAGGAAATGTATGCAGAGATTTGACCAAACTTGGAACCAAATGTCTTGTATGGCTTGCTCACCCATTCTACACCAAACAACCCATAACTGGAATGGGACGGGTCGGGCGGGTCGGGTCGGGTCCCAACTAAAATGATATAATGAAAAGAGTTTTGTTTTTTTTTTTTTAGAAGAGACAATATTATCTACGGAAATTGTGATTTTAATCTTATAATGAATTAGTAATAATATAATTCAAATTTAATTTAATTAAAGTAAGATCTTTTTTATTTACAAATGAAGTTGTATTTTAAATTGTAATACTAAATGGTATAGTGATAAGAGTTGCGACATGTAGCCAAACTCCATCCTCATCATCATGCATCACCATCACAACTTAATTACGTCGTCGTTCAAAGTTTGGAAGCCCCCTCCACTCAGAGATTGAGGGCTCAAAGAAATTCTAATTTAGTATTTCTTATCAACTTTATAAATTTATTTTTTACTCTAATTGTTTTCTTGGCCTATATTTGTTATTTTGGAAGTAGTTTCCGAAATGTGATGTGTAATGGCTCATTTGGCAAGTGTTTTTAAATGACTGAAAGCATTTTTAGAGAAAATATTTTTGAATTCTAAAAGCACTAGTTATATGCTTCTTGTTGGAAGCACTTCAAATACTTTTCTAGAATTAACTTGTATTTTTACTAAAGTTTGATTTCAAAATCATTGTATTAAAAAGCGTTTTCAATTGTTTAAAAACTCATGTCAAACGAGCCCTAAATAACTTCCATCCACACCAAAAAGGGAGTGTCTTGAAAAAATAACGATTTGCTGCTTATCTCTTTCAATCCCCACAAAATGCTAAGATTAGGAGGGGTTAATTCCTTTCATGGCCAATCCCTTGTAATCCCCTACAAATGAGAATTATTTGTCTCCGGCTCTCAGTCTTCCCTCATACCTGGAATTATATGAATTCTGCAATTCAACCGATTCCAATGTATCATACGCACGAAACGAGTGATAAGGAGAGTTTACATTTTATATGATGAAAATTTGGACAACATGCATACTAGATATCTAACAGGGAATCGATATCGAGTAATAATGTGCTTCTTGTTGGAAACACTTCAAATGCTTTTCTAGAATTAACTTGTATTTTTTTTCTAAGGTTTGGTTTCAAAACGTTTTATCCAAAAGCGCTTTCAGTCGTTTAAAATCATTTGTCAAACAAGCCCTAAATAATTTCCACGCACACAAAAAAGTGTTTGAAGAAAAAAATCACGATTTTTTATTTATCTCTTTCAATCCTGACAAAATGCTAGGATTAGGAGGGTGTTTAGGCCAAAAATGATATTTTGGGCCGACCTTAGAGTCATTCTCGGCCCAGTAGCATTCGTTTAGAATCTTGTTATGGACCATCCAGTCAAGGTTGGCCGAATCCTATTGCGTGAATGATTGGTTTAAATAACGGTGAGGTAGTCGAACCCTAGTGCAACAAGGAGAATGGGATGCATCTGGTTCGTTATGGAGCTTGGTTCAAAGTCCTATTGAAGCTAGGATTGGCCGAAACCTAATTAGATTGGGTTGAGGAATTCTAATCCGAGTACATTTCTAGTTTGGCCATGAAAGGGATTCGCTACTATAAATAGAGAAGGGAGTGCATCATTCAAGGCCCATTCAAATCAACACATAAATTACCGTGCGCAAAGCTTCTCAGCAACCTTGAGATTTTATCATCTTCCCCTTTCTTCTTGCCAACATATCTTCAATTTGGATAGAGAACACTGTGAAGGCAACCGGCGACATCTTCAGTTTGGATAAATAACACTAGAGCCGTAGAATCAGCCGACTAAGGGGCACTTTCAGTTTGGATAAACATCACTGCTTCAAGGCCAACTGATTATTATCCAAGTCTAGGTCGACAAGGATTTTCAAGTCCTTGTTGGTAGACGTCATCTCATCAGCTTTCTCGACGAAGTGAGGTGTTACCAAGTTACTAAGCTCGGCACAATGAAAGCCGAATTTTACTTTATGATTGGATATTCGCAGGTACATTTTAGAGTTCAGCATTCTGACAGTCGAACCACATTTACCATCAAGACATTTATTTCTTTCGAGTATTTGTGTTCGTAAAGTCTGGTGCTAGTTCGGCGTACTTATACTCTCACGAATATAATTACTGAGATTGAACCCGCAGTCGGCAATTTGTGAACTTCGCAGAAATAGCAACCTTGTCTTCATGCTCTAAAACCTGAAGTCCGAGACGTAATCCTTTCTCGGTTGCAGTCGCGAGATCAAGAAGTCAATAGTGCGCTCAAACGCCTCATCAACATATTTTACTCCCCGGTCAAACTCGCCCGACGAGTTGGCACGCCCCGTACACAACCGAAGGACGTAGTTTGTTTATTAATTATTTGGCCTGCACGCTATGTAGATTTTGTAGTTTTTAGGGTCAACAGAGGGATAATTTCCTTCATGGTTAATCCCTTCTAAACCCCCTTCAAATGAAAAATTATTTGTCATGGACTCTCGGTCTTCCCTCATACCTTGACTTATATCAATTTTGCAATTCAACTGATTCCAATGTATAATACTCACGAAATGAGCCATAAGAATAGAGTGTACATCTACGAGAGAGAGACCATATAATTTACTCTTTATAAACATGGTTGATTTTGCACCTCCAGGTACATGGGAGGCAGCATGCATAAAATAAGAAAAACAACCACATGAGAGACCCCAAGCTAGCAAGAGCATTGGCTAAACCCTAAACCTTTGTTAGAAAACATAGAAACTCAATTACCACAAGTTTTTTTTCTCTATGAACATAGTTGATCTTGCACCTCCAGTTTTGATTTCTTTTGAATTCTCTGAAGAAGGATCATCTTCTTCTTGCACCTCCAGTTTTGATTTCTTTTGAATTCTCTGAAGAAGGGTCATCTTCTTCCTCATAAGAGCTAAAAGTATCACTTCCGCTTCCTTCAGACTCACCACGGGGTCTCTTAGTTTTACAGTCTTCGAAAGAAAATACTTTCTGCTTTAATGTAACACACAATGAAATCTTCCAAGACCTCGAAAGGTTTTCAAAGATAAATGCCCTCACGACATCATCATCAACTATATATGCATGCTATGTAGTTTCTGTTGTGTTATATATGACTTTCATACTTATCTCATACTCGTCTGGGTCCACATTCACAATACCATGTACTTTCTTCTGAAGCTCCGCAAATGTAATTTTATCTGAAACAATTAATCTTTTGTTTTGCAATTTTGTCAGCCCACCTCCTACCATAGTTCACTAAAATTGTCAAACTAGACATCTTCCTGGAAGAGCATAACAATAAGAAAAGAAAAAAGTGACATACGCATTGAAAAAAATTAATTTAATATTGCCCAGATTATTAGTACAATTAATTGATAATTTCCAAACCAAGATAAGAAGAATAAAAACACAAAGAACGAAAACTTTCTATTTCTTAAACCTAATTTTTCTAATATGCACCAAAAGAATTTTTATTAGCTTTGTCTCTAACTGATTGGCAAATGCTATTAGATTTGTCAATCTTCCATTCACACAAGGAACCTAATTTTTCTAATAAGAAGTTTTAATCTGTAAACCTTAAAATTATGCTTTTTGCAAGTGGCCCTTTACAACAGTGGTGCAAAGGTGTTGAGCCCTTGCATGATGACGTGAATTCAAATCCTGTCAGTAGCTAATCTAACAAAATTCTATCATTTGAAAAAAAAAATTATGCTTTTTGCGCTTTCTAAGAACAACAGTCTCTTGATTCACTACATAGTCAATAATAACCTTCAAAACAGAATCTGAACACGGACAACACCATTTATAATTAAAAAAGTGCGGAAAACTAAATATGAATCACATATAATTCAAAGGATTGAGATAAATAACGTTACAAAGATTGACAATTCGTTTTTCAATAAATATTCAATCAAAGGAAAAAAAACTATAAAAGCAAAGAGAAAATGTAGATGAGGAAAAATGCAAAAAATCAACCATCTACACTCACCTTTGTTTAGGGCTATACAAGTCTCCACCAATAGCCGATGCCTTCATTACGTCTCCACCATTTCTTAGGTTTTGCCGCCATAAATTTTCATCTAATAGGGTTTTGGTTTTTTAATTTATTTGGTTTTAAAGTTTAAGTGTATTTGTGTCTATTTAAGTGATATTTTGGATGTATTTGAAAGTTTTTATAAAACTAAACCACCACCGCTCTCAAGTTCTCTCTTGCCGATCTCCTCCTCTTTATGCCTCCTCAGAAACCCCTTTGGTAAAATTCCGAACTTTACTCCAAGTTGTATTTTCTCTCTCTTTATGCACTTTCGAAAAGTTTCAGGTTTTTGTGTTCCTAAGCTTATGTCTCTTAAAGCAATTTAATTTTGTGTTTAATTTGGATTTTTGCATTGCTAATTTTGAATTTTGTGTTTAATTTGCGTTTTTATGTTTTGAATTTGTAGCCTGATCTTCCATTGGAGTTACAACATCCAAATTTTGCATTTGTTTATGTTAGAGCATCTCCAAAGGAGATGTCAAAATCCTAGGTGGAATGCCACTGTGCATATTTGACATCAAAAGTCTCTCCAACCGAAGTGTTATTTGCTTACTAGATTTGAATGCTTTGTAATTTGGAGTCAAATTTGACATTAATGTTAAATTTATTTTTAATTCATATTAATGGTGGGTCCCTTATTCCACTAACATTTCAGCTAATAAAAATTTTATTTCAACATTTTTTTTTAAATTACAACCATTTAAAGCTCTATTTAAATAATAAAATAATATATGACAATTCGGTTGGAAAAACACAAAATTTGATATAAGACTTTAGATTGCCACATCAAGCATCAATTGTAATTTAACTTTTATAATTTGACATTTCCTTTGAAGATAATCTAATGACAACAATTCATTCAAATTCTGCATTTGTCCAGTAAATTGTAAAAGAAAAATGAATTATGAGGAACTTTGAGATTGTGCAGGCTGTGGTCATGAATGGTATCAGCAAGTTGTTCCCCATGCTGGTGATTAATCATTTCCCAATCTGTGCTCCATTTGGTTGATGAGAAAATGATTGAAAAAAATGGTTTTTTTCTTTTTCATTTGTTGGTTGATTTTGTATAAGGACTACGTATTAATTTTTTTTGGGGGGGGGGGGGGTGGATTTTGGGTATAGAGGCTGTGTGTGGAACCAGCAATACAAGAGCGGGATATGATCAATTGCGCTCAAATTGGAAGGGGGAAAACTCATGCTTTTGCGATTCCCATATTGAATAAAATCCATAAACACAACGCTACCTACACACAAGGAAGAAAATATCGGAAATATCGATGGAAATATCGGGATAATATCGATATCGATAAAAATTACATGGAAACCACGGAAATTGTAAGAAAAACTTGGAAATTTTTATTGAAATTTTGCAGGATGTTTATTTAGTCAATTATCTATTAGTTTATCATAAAAAATTAGAAGGAAATGCATTGCATGATGGATTTAACATTATCAAGTTGATTATATAGCGAGCTGGCAAACATTGTGAGTGTAGAAAATATGTAGTAATTAATGAAAAACGTTTAAACACACCATAATCATTTATATATAATGAATTAGTACAATATTTTACACTTTATACATTGTACCATTCCTAAAAGATGTAAAAGTTGAATTATTTACCATGCTTTTCTTTTCTCACACCGTCACACACCACCTACACACACACGCCACCGACACACACACACACACACAGAGGGATCACACACGCCACCACACACGCACACCACACACGCACACACGACTTGTCTCTAGATCCTTCTCTATTCTCCCTCTCCCTTCTCCCACAAACACACACACAGATCAATAGATCTCTCGAATTCTCGATCCTTCTCTCTTCTCCCTTCTCCCATACACACGCACATAGACCTTTCTCGATCCTTCTTCCACATGGCATTCTCCTCCTCCCTTGCCTTCCTCCTCGTCCGCGTATTCCGCCTCGTCGGCGAACCCAAGAACTCTGAGTTCTCTTGATCCTTCTCCGCCTTCCTCACCGATCCCACCGAAAACAACCCCACCTCTGTCGTTGACTTCAGCGACGACCACCACGACCCCCAATCGCCCCCAAACCCCAACCTCAACCTCCACAACAACCACCCATTCTCCTCCTCCCACCGGAGACTACCCCGCTGGCGCCGCGCTCGCCTCCGTCTTTGTTCCACGTCTGCTTCAACCCAAGACCACGCCCGCTTCGCCGTGGGGACAGACCACGAGTTGTGGATTTACAACTGCGAGCTCGATCCGTTCTGGAGTTGTGGATCTACGCCTGCTTCAACCCAAGAGCTACTTCAATCCGTTCTGCGAGCTCTTTCGCCGCGACTTCGACAACGGCGGGGGAATCGGCGTCGTTGAGGCGCAGATATTGGGTTTGAGCATGGATTGCAGAGAGATCTCGGCAGCTGGGGGGACGACGCAGCCTCGACTGCCTTTCCGACGACGGATCCACGATGACTTTCGATAATATCGAAAATATCGCGATATTTTGACGATAATGAGACGGATATGTGGGAAAATATCGGAGCCTCTGAAAAACGATAATATCGGCGAAATATCGCCGATATTATCGATATTTAATACCATGCCTACACCTACATATATGCGATTTATGTTTGATTATATATGGCCGTGGATGGTGGTCTTTCCAATACCACCGGTGCAAATACCTTTCCAATCATTAATGCTTAATAACGATTCAACTTGCTCAATGGACAACCATTTGCAATGCAAGGAATTTAAATTTGATCAAATCAACTCAACTCTTGTAAAGAATCGTTTTCTTCAAATTTTCACATCCTTCCTTTGTCTCGACTAATTGGGCTTCGTTTGGAAATCGGCCCAAAGTGGCCTTGAATATGCCAGGGCCGGGTCGGGTCGTATGACAGAAATGAGCAGCGACAAGTGGCAGAAAATCTGTCCACTTGGAGAATGACCTGGCAACACTGAGCTCAATCGTTTGGAAAGATTCTCTCCTGAGCATCTACTCAGGATCCTACTGACCAACACATGTTGATTGAAAATCTAACAACCCTTGTGTATGGGTCAGTCGCTTAAAAGAGTTCTTCTGTTTGTAACCGTTGGATGAAAATCCAACGACCCTTGTGTATGGGTCAGTAGGATCCTGAGCAGATGCTTAGGAGAGAATCCATTTCCCGTTCGTTCCATCCCCCCCCCCTCCTCTCTCTCTGTAAAATGAAAGAGTCCTTCCAGACTCCATACGGTGACAGATAGAGAGAAAGCTTTGAAAATGGCAATGGCTTGGAGGCATCCTACCCTCCATCACCGTGACTCCGAAACGCCATAGTTCCAAGCATCACTCTCATGGTGCCGGACTTTAGCTCCAGACCATCTCTTTCCTTCGTCATCTCCTTCCACCTCTACCGCCACTCATTCGTCTCCTCCCTTCAACAGGAAAGCTTTCATTTTTCCACTTTTATTCACAAATCGCAAAAAAACCCATATTTTTGTTTACAAACTTGAAAAGAACCCATTATTTATATTCAAATTTGAAAAGAACTGAATTTTCAATTTTTGATTTGTGTGTGCAGGGACCAATACGTGGCGTTTCATGAAATGTACGGCCAGGGCGGGAGCTGGGGCTGTGAATCTTGCTCGGGGGACACCCGTCAGACCCTCCAGCATACTGGTTGTCGGCGCCACCGAGACTCTGGGGAGGCAGATTGTGAGGAGAGCACTTGATGAGGGACATGATGTTAGGTGCTTGGTTAGGCTGAGACCAACTCCTGCCGATTTTCTAAGAGATTGGCGTGCTACTGTTGTCAATGTAATTCCAATTCACTAACTCTTATAAATTTTTATAAATTTTATAAGACATTGGAGTGCTACTGTTTGTTCGTTGTCTAATTTTAGCTTCCTGCTTGCTTTACAGTATCGGGCTTTATGTTATTCCTTGTTCAAATAAAAAATAGGTTTCACTTAAACTTAAACTTCCTCTCTTACTATATTGTTACTTGCATATCCAGATTTGTGCTTCACTGTCAGCTTGATGTTTCAAATTAATTTCCGTATCTTCTTATTATTCTTATTCTCATATAGCACTCCTCCAACCCCCATTTACTTTCTTTATCAGAAACAACAATTAAACCAGTCAGAGTTATAAGAAGTTGCACGTGTAAAAATCATTCAAAACACAGGCATGCATCTAAGCACACACACACCCTGAAGAGGTATGCATATGCGTGGAGAATGATCATATGTTCGGAAAGGAATCTTTCCAAGGACATGATTTCATAAAACAATCAATAATTATGTATGCTAGATATCCTTCTCTCATTACAGTTTCTTGTGTTTCGTTGTGAGATGGAATATCTATTTTGATGTTTGTACTAGCTACTAAGTGAAAGGGCTTATCTTTACGTTTTATTCTCAGGGAATTATTGGACGGTATGCAGTATTGCAGTGCCTATATTAGAAGAGAAATCAGTATGGGGAACAGATGCCCCCACAAGAATTGCATACATGGACACCCAGTTTAATCATGCTTTGACCGTTTCCCTGGTTGATTTTAGAGCTACTTTCTTTTTGTTTACCTCTCGTTATGGTTTCTGAACACTTTTTATTTTTGGTATTAGGATGTGGCTCCTCTGACCTTTATAGGTTTAAGAAATGAGAAAGTCAATGGGAAGCTTCTCGCATTTGCTGGCGCTTGCGCTTGGACAACCCAAGAGGTGAGCGAGAATGTTTACCACCAGAGGCCCTTCATTGTTCTTTCTTCCTCAAATTTTTATACTCTGCAACTGAACTTAAGGCCAGCTCCTACTGTGCCTCACCTTCATTATAACCAAGGTCCAGGGTTTTTAAAAGTGCCTTTTGCTTTCAGGTAATAAGGCTTTTTGAGTGCACAAATGATGTTGCTGATAGATTGGCATTTTCAGAGGTAAGTTCTTAAAATGAAAGATGTGAATATGATCAAAGAAAATCGTATTTCAAAATGTTTTATTTGCACTCATTTTTTTCTTTCTTTATGTTCGTATGTTTATGAGGAAATTAAAAACAAGCTCAAAGGCCTTGCACTTTTCTCTTTTCTCAATATCGTTGATTCTATATCAAATTTTGTCAATATAATTATCAATGACAAAGAAGGTTAAGTAATTTTCTCAATATCGTTGAATTTTTCTTCCGTAAATGTTGCTTATTATTTTTTTCAACAGGAGTTCCAATGAATTTTATCTTTGTTGTATCTATTTGTCAATGATTTTATTGTTTTCTCTTTTGAGAAAATTTTCTCTAAAGGAAATGCTAGAAGGTATCTGTTTGGGTTTTGTTTTTGTCTTAATATATTAGATAAATTTTGTTATGGGCTTTCGATTTTTGAATCAACTGAATTCTTTGGTTTGTATAACAATCTTAATTGATAGGTGGTCTATTATGGCGCAGGTATTAGTTATATTTGTAGAGCTCAATGAATACTTTATATTTCTTAAACAAGGACTGCTAGTCGGTATGAAATTTCTCATCTCTTACTCTTTCCTTAATTAGGATGTAAATAGATTTTGAGATAGATGTAGACAATTTTAATATATTTCACACGTTTAACATAGAATTGTGGTTGAATACTGGATGAACTACTCAATTTTTTATTGTTAAATTATTTTTTACATTGAAGTTTAGGAGAGCCCTAAACTAACAACAGACTAATCACTTCGACTTGCATCTGGCTCGTTACTTCCACTTGCTTGCCCAGACTCATCTCTTCCACTTGCTTCCCCAGACTCTTCGTTTTGTTTTGCTTCCTTGTCGCTTCCACTTTCACCCTCAGAATCATCGCTTCCACTTGCTTCCTCAGATTCATTGCTTCCACTGGCTTCAGGATCACCACTCCCACTTGCTGCATGCTCATCTTGTTCTTGTCGCGACATGACATCACATTTTAATTTCTCAGCATCTTCAGCATACAACAGGCACATGCCACACTTTTCCACTGTCTTGAATCCCTTTTCTTGCCAGAAGTGAACAGAGACCTCAGTGACGCAGTCGTAAAAAGCAGAGGACCATTTTGTTCTCTCTTCATATTCAAGGTCTTTATACAGTACGAACACATGTTGTAGATATGAGTAATGACAAATTCCTTCATCGTTAATTTCTAAATTGAAATAACAATTGATTTCATGACTTTCCCCCTCTCCAGTTTTGAAATTGTACTTGCATTCAAACTTCACATCTGAAGCAAAGAGTTGGGATGCAACAACAGAGAGAGCGAAACCCAAGAAACCTTCACGAAACCAATTTGCAGGAAGCCTGACATTTATTGAAGCCCCCTCATTTTGATGTACGAACCAATTTGGAATTTCATCTCCCGGACATACAATGGTAACTAAGGGCCCAGAGTACTTTTCCTGCAACATTTATTGACATCTTGTTACTTAACAGAGAGAGAGAGAGAGAGAGAGAGAGAGAGAGAGAGAGAGAGAGAAGGGGGGGGAGAGGGAGAGGGAGAGAGAGAGAGAGAGGCACACTCTTCTTTTAAATTTGAAGATGCAGTTGAGAAACATACGTAATCTTCCATTTTGATATAGACAGAGCGATAGAGAGATAAGTAATCTTCGTCTGCAGTTGAGAAACATACGTAATCTTCCTCCTCTAACTTTGAAGACGCAGTTGCCACTCGCATGATTCTAAGCTGTGCATCAACCATTATGTTGCTCCTTGCATCATAACCCAACCTTCCGCAATTAGAAAAGTTAAGTTGCTCTCGAAGCAATTCATATCTATTCCAACATTGTGTAATTGCTGTCCTTGAACTCGACACTGTCTTCAGTGACTTGCAGCCATTTGCTTGAAGACGACTGGGCATTGGGAGCTCTGGTAAAGATCGAAGTTTCTCGCACTTGATTAAGCACAGGCAAGACAGCTGAGCAGCTTGTTTAATGCTTGAGGGTATGCTCCGAATTTTGGTTCTGCTCAGATTAAGATCCCGTAATGAGGTTGAACAAATGACGCCCTCAGGGATTTCTAATATACCGCTGTCTTTGAGATTTAGTATTTCAAGAGAGGGAAAACCAACTGAGCCAGTCGGCTGAGGAAAATTTCGGAGTTTCCAACAGTAATTAAAGCTGAGCGTTTTGATATTTGTTAATTTGTAGATGCAACTTGGGACAACTTTAAGTTCATAGCAATCAGTGAGATCAAGTTCCTCAAGAGATTTCAACTTACAAATGCTCCGTGGGAGGCTCACAAGATTTGTGCAATTCTTTAGTTTAAGTTTGGTGAGACAAAAGAGACGCTCCATTGATGACATGGGCAATACTTCTATTTTTGTTCTTGAAAAATCTAATTCACCAATACCCCTGGGAAGCTCCCAAACCTTTTCAAGAGAGCAGCAGCCATATAGACTAAAAGCACCAGAGACTTTCAGCTTGCAAGTGTTGCTTGGAAGTTCCTTAAGTTCTTCAATTTGTAATATCCAAGGAAGAAATTTTTTCATGAGACCAAACTGATGACGGCAACTCCTTTATGCCACTGCCTTGTAATTTTAAGAATTCAATATTGTCTGGCATCTCTGGAAGATGCTTGAGACAGCAGCACCTTGAAAGATCAAGATAAGTGAGTTTGTCAAGATTTTTAAAATACTGAGGAATTTCAACCAAACTTTCACATCCAAAAAGATCCATGTGCTCGATATTTGGACTCCCCAAGAGATTTGGAAGTGCAGTTAGATGTTTGCAGTTACAAAGTTGGATCACTTTTAAGTTCCCAGGATTCTGTAACAAATTAAAGAGAAAATGTAAGAATTAACAACTTAATCTAAATAAGTTTCTACACTACATCTTAGACAAAAAAAAAAAAAAAACTATAACAATAACATATACCTGGCCTCCATCCCAAAGTTGCGTGACTTCGCTATCGGGCATATGAAGCTCAACAAGATTTTCAAGAGAAAATTCTGGGGGCAAAGATTTCAAAGGATATGCCACCCAGAAAAGATAACGAAGAGAATTGGGAAGAAGAAAGAGAGTTTTACTGTTTAATATTTTGCCCCCCCACCCCCAAGAACCAACACCGAGCAATCTCATATTATACATTCTTTTGAAGTCTGCACGATCCAAGATTTGCTCTCCGTTAAAGAATATGGCTTGAACCTTTTCAGTTCCCTGACAACCAACAGCAAAGTACAAATGTGAACACACTAACGCACAACAAAATTTAATCTTAACTACATTTGTAGGAATATGACTTTTTTTTTCTTTTCTTTTTTTTGTACATGAGTTTTCTCTAGCTGTCTTCTCATAGGAAGTACACAGTATTTTATTGATCTATTTCTTTTCTTTATTATTTAAAAAAAATTGTGAATGCAATTGTGGCTCTTACCGTGTTATTTTTCAACACATGATAAACATCCTCCTCAATGAATAGCCGACTGCGTCTTCCGGGCTCTTCAACACATTGTTCGCGAACAATTTCCCAACCCATTTCTTGTACCAAATCATGCATATCTATGGTTTCCCGTTCCGAATCAATCGATATGAGAGACCTATCACGGAGAACTCTAATTCCATCTGTCGCACATAAACCACCATGCATTTGGCCAAAGCCTACTATCTTTTTTACATCCTCAATATGATCCCCTTTATGAAAGCATGCTATATCAAGAAATACCTCCTGCGCATTTCTTCCTAATCGATCATAGCTTACTCTGAACGTATTTTGAATTTTTTCATTGGGATTATTTCTCAGTGTGCTCAATGCATTTTCCCACTCGTCTTTGCTCTCACATTCAAAGAATAAGGAACCCAAAATTTCAAGAGCCAGTGGAATGCCTCCAGCATATTCTACCACCCGTGCTGACAAGTCTGTATATTCTTCTCTAGGAGAGTTATCATTGAGAGCATGAAATTGAAAGAGCCGAAGAGCGTCATCAGTTTTTAATTTCTCAAGCTGATAGATATGTTTGTTATCTCCAACAGCTTTCCTGAGTACGCTCCGTTCTACTTGTTACGATGATTTTACTTCCATCGCCGTAGCGAGGACTAGGTCCAACTACATCTTTTATTTGCTTTGAATCAGTGACATCATCAAAAACAATGAGAACCTTTGTACGCCTGAGCTTTTGTTGAACAGAAGTCGAATCTATGAAGGGATTTTCTTCCTTTAAGATCTCCTTAAGAAATGTTTTCTTCAATTGATCGATTCCATCTGTTTGCTCTGATTTCTCCCTAACATTTTTAAGAAGACAACAAGATTCGAAGTTAAAAAAGAGTCTCTTGAACACAGCATTAGCAAGGGTGGTCTTTCCAACACCACCCATGCCCCAAATGCCTACAGTGCAAACACCTTTCCAATCATTAATGCTTAATAGCGATTCAACTTCTTTGATGCGGCTTTCAATTCCAATTAGGCCGGTTAAATCATCTGAGATTTCACGTTTCAATTTCGTTGAAATATCTTCCACAACTTTCTCAATGAAATCGGCATCCGTCCTGCAAAATATGATTATGAATGACAAGCAATCTATAGTAAGCAATGCTTCACTAGTCTGTAAGGTTTCTTTAAAAGCTAGTTTGGTATTGTTGTGTTTTTGTTGTACTTTTATATAAGAATAAATAGTTGTATAATAATAATTTTTTTTATTTTTTATTTATAATCTTTAGGCTTATTATATTAACACTCCACAAATTGTTAAATAAACCTCACATACTTAATACACCCCATTTTTCAATGAATAATTATCTTAGAGTGCTACTAGACCCACCCCAGTGTCCTATTTTCCCATCCACATGATAATCCCACCCACCATAGAAAATTAAAAAAGTAAAATGTTATTTCCCCACCTACCATTATTCCCAAAATAACCATAATATTTTTGTTTTTAAATAACTCTAATATATCTTTAAATAATATTATAAATAAATAAATAAAAATATAAAAAATGAAAGAAAATGCAAGACCTAAGACCTAGACATTCATCATCTCCTTCACACCTAATGCCGCAAAAACCCTGGATCCCCAAACCACTCTTCTTCCTCCTTTTTTTGTCAAAACCGTAGATTTCACACCCAATTCTCCTTTTTCTCTATTGAAGTTTCTTGCCCTCATCTAGCACACGCCCATTCCTTCCTCCAACCTTTTCGTCGATTCTAACCCAAATCTTTCCCAACCTCTTTCCACCAAAGATATCACACCCCACCCACCATTATTTATTTATTATTATAATACTGAATTAAATAGGGATTTAAGAGTCTTCTTTTAAAAGGATAAATATGTTATTAACATTTTCATTAAATGGTGGGTGAGGAAATAAGACACCGGGGTGGGAATATCATCACTCTTATCTTAATACACCTCACATACTTTCCCATAACACCCTCACACCTCACATTCTCAATATAGACCTTACATTTCTTACATGCACCCCATATTTTCTATACACTCCACATTTCTCAAATTTTATAAAGCTTTTAATTTGGACAAAAAATGCTGATTGAAATTTTGACAAAAGATGCCGCCTGGGATTTAAAACATATATGGATTGTTTTCAATTCCACCATTAAAACTCATGTCGTCTATTTTTAATATTTGGTGGTAATTTTAGGTGTTTAATTCTTCGTGTAATATCTGTGATTCCTAAAAGATGAATACGAACATAGAAATTTGAATAACGCAACAAAACAAGATTAAATAATTATCGATATCGTCAAAATCACTAAAACAATAAAAAATATGAAGTCTTACATCATTTGAAGCTTCCAAAAAATCGATTTCGTGTTTCATTCGTCACAATTTTTTTTTCTCAATTAACATGTTTGTAGTTTCATCAGTTTGAATTTTGTTCAACAATGCAGGGTCGAAAGGATTTTTATAGTTAAAGAAGATAAATAATATGTTAAAAATGATTTGGGGTATATTTAGATTTTTTTTAACCTAATAAAGTCAAAATTTTCATTGCATAGTATGGTAAATAAATAATTTAATATTAAATTTTAATGTGAGGGTTTATTCAACATTTTGTAATATACTAATATAGAGAACCTAATCTTTAATTGCTGACTATTTAATAATTTTTATCTTGTATATTTCACAATTTTCGCGGTCAAAATCTCCACACTTTCTCGACGACCAAACACCCCATTTTCTGTGTCTCTCCAAACCCTAACCCCAATCCCCAACTTGGCCCACTCAATCTCTGCCCCTCTGGTACGCTACAGTTCCGGTACACGCACACGCCGCTGAAGGTGCTCAGCCTCTGCCAGAAAGTTTATGGGTCGTGCAACAATATTCGCAGGGAGAGGGAGAGAGAAAGGAGGGGGTGGTGCAGGCATGGTCCGATGCGCATCTGGCCGAACTGAACAGGTGCAGTGAAATTTTGGTGTAATTCTGAAGAATTTGGGCGAAATATATGTGGGTTTTTTTTTTTTTTTTTTTTTTTTTTGCAGGAAGGCGTGCAATAATCTTTGCAGGGAGAGGGAGAGGAATGAGTGGAAGAATTTCAGGGGTCGAAATTTCAGGGCCGCGCGAGGAATTCGGGGGTTGGAATTTCAGGTCTTGATATGATTGTAATAAGCAAGCAGCTTAATCACTTAATTAGGAGTAATAATATTCCTACCATGTTTTTATACCACATTTTTATATCATCTTAAGTAGTATTTGATGTGACAGCCACATTATTTGAATTACTCAGATTTTTTAATTTTGTTAATTATTTAATAAACTAATAATTAAAAAAAAATCAGTTAATTAAATGATGATTGTGGTATACGATGAGTCTTTCTCCTTCATTTCCTTGGGTTTTGCAAATTTTTCAAATGATGTAGTTGTCCATGTCAGATGCCATCTAAAATGATATAGAAATATGATATAAAAACATGGTATGAATAACATTACTTCTTAATTAGGGGTTTAATTAGTACTTAATAGCTAATTAGTTAAAGTTGTTAGGAATTGGCAAAATGTGTATGCTCAGTTGTGTAAGAGCTTTCTCCGTGAGTGAAAAGGCACGATTAGAGGTTGGTTTAGTGATTTTCAATATTAATTAGAATCTAAATATTTTTAGATTAAAATGTTCATAAAATTAAATTATAATAATTATGCATAATTGTTTTTTAAAGTTGATTTAAAAAACAATTACCTTAAATTTATTTTTTAATAATCTCGGATAAAAAATTTAATCTAGAAGGATTGGAAGAGAAAAATTATTTTTAAGTTAGAACCTAAATTTTTTGATATAATTTTTTTTTAATTTTAACCCAATAATTAGATATGGAAGTACCAAACCTTACCTAAATCAGATTGTTGAAGTCTATATAATGAATATTGTTTCTTGAAAAGAAATAGTCACAAGTAGAAATTGGTACAAGTTACAAAGTTAAGGACAACGTAATTTAATACGGTATTTGTTATTTTTAAACTCTTATTCATAGAAATTGGAAAATGATACTCTTTAAACTTGAGAATTAGAGGTTCCAAATCCTAAGCTTTTTTTCCATGCGAAAATTATAAGTTTCTATATTTATGAATCCAAACAAGGAAATTAATACATGTCAATTTATAAATTCTGATTTTTGTCAAAATTTAAGTTTAATTCCTTCGTCCAACATAATGTTACTTACCCCTTTGTGTTTGAATAATCTGCCCCACATAGACCGGTTGCTTCCACCAAAGCAGCTTTCCACTCGATCACCTTATCCATACTGTCCTGGAAACGTTTTTCAAGTCCAGCAAATGCATCTTTATAACTCCCCTCTTGTTTTCGCACATCTGATGGATTGATGTCGTAAAAAATGGGCACAACCATCTGTTTATATTTATTTCTGCATTTGAGTATATGCACAAGTTCAATCAAACACCATGTGGAATACGCATAGTTTTTGGAGAAAATGATCACCGAAAGTCTTGATTTCTCGATTGCTTCTAGTAGGGTGCGTCCTATTTCGTCTCCTATCTTCAGCCTGTAGTCTATGTAGGCTTCGATTTTATAGCGAAGTAAGGCAGTATGAAGATGGCTGGTAAAATTTTTGCGGGTGTCCTCGCCTCTGAAACTAATAAACACATCATACTTATCTCGAATAATGGGGATATCAACATCACCATCATTATCATCAACAACATCAACAACAACAACATTAGAAGCAACATCAGCAGCCTCAGCAGCAGCAACTGCAGTAGCCTCAGCAGCAGCAACTGCAGTAGCACCAACAACATCAGCATCAGCAACATCAGCAACACCAACATTAACAGTATCAACATCAGTAGCATTAGAAGAAGAAGTCGAGGAACCAAATGTTAATGATCTGCAGCGCATGTACAACAGAGTCCCGATGGCGATGACGATGATGTTGAAAACTTGAATGAACCCAATCAACTCCATCTCTCTATCCCTCAGAGAAGAGAATGAAGTGATCAAAGCGAGTATTTGATTACGGAGAGCAGAGAGCGAATCTGAACTATAATTGCACTTGAGACTAGATCAGATTTTAGTACACAAAAATTGAAATTGTACTACTTCTTATCGAGTCTGCACAAAGTTACAAACACTCCAGGAGGACAAAAATTAAAAATTTGGAGAGACAAGGACTAGTCACCTAACAAGTATTTGATAATGCTACTACTTTAAAATTTTCTTTTAAATATGCTTAATTAAAAGAAAATTATGTCCAAAGCACTCTTTGTAAGTCATGTTTCAATAAAATATATGTACAAACAACGGTCCAGCACATTCAGCATAGAAATTGTGTGCATTCAAACGGAAGAAAAGGTTATAATATATCCCTAGTTGAGGAATATAGAAAGGTGAAATTAATAATGAATCCCACCTCCTCCTGATGCGATGAAGTTTCCTAGTTTTTATCGAGTATGTGCACTAAGTTACAAACACGACAGTGAGGACAAAAATTAAAAATTTGGAGAGATAGGGATTAGTCACCTAAAAATTTTTTGATAATGGTGCTACTTTAAAATTTTCTGTTAAATATGCTTAATAGAAATTTGTCCAAAGCACTCTCGGTAAGGCATCTTTTAATAAAAGGAAAACTAATGAAAATGGTTTGAAAACTTTGAATTTTAACGAAGATCACAAAAAAGTGTTGTAAGTGAATAGTACCAAGATTGACTTTTTAGAGTAAAAATGCAGTTTTTCATTAAAGTAAACAGTATCAAAAGTTTTTCGTTAAAGCTCATTTTAATAAAATATACGTACAAACGGCCATCTAGAAAAATTATTAAAGATTAGACGAAATAAAAATAAATAAAAAGACGAAATCGCTAAAGCACTTTCAGTGGAGAAACAAAATGTAAAAAGAAATATTAAATCAGTCGACAAGCTTTACAACTTTTGTAAAAGGGTCAACTTCGAAATCCAACATCATAATCCATAAACCTTAGAGTTATATTTAACCATCAATTATCGTTTACATTTTATTCTTTTCACTGGACTTCTTTTTTAAGATTATTATTATTATTATTTGTAAAAACGTGATCTTTTAGAGGATGCAGAAAAATAAACGGTTTGAGTCTTTGATATCACGTTCCCGTGTTTACCATTAACTGAAATATGAGTCGATATAATATAGTTTCTAGAAACTTTATAAACTCCGAGCAATGAATTTCACTAACGTTATAAATCTGAATGTGATATTAACGATCCGAACTGCTCATCTTCCTATATCCGCAAAATGATCATGTTTCCAAAAAAGAAAATATGAAAAAATGAATTTCGGTGAGAAGACTGGAATGGAAATCTAAACGGCAATCAATGGTTAAATTTAAATCTATGATTTATGAGATTATAGTGGCGAATTCCATAGTTGACTTCTTCACAAAAAGTTGTAAAGCTTATCATTATCAACATTTGTATATTTTTCACACTTTTACATTAATTAAAAAACTCTTATTTTCAGATATGTAATACTTGAAAGACAAATGTGTTTTATGTATTGAAGTAATATTTATGTCACAATGTGGTATGTAGATACTAATTTAGTATTATGTTTTTCATTTGATTATTTATTGATTTTTAATATATTTTCTTTAACGGCTAACGAGTTGAGTCATATTACTTGTTAATATTAAGGGGTCGAGTTTGGTTTGGGTCATATATCCGTTCATTTTCACAGGTGTTATATAACACGACCCATTAAGATATCAAGTATGTCATGAAAAAGATATGACCACAAAAAACACGACACAAATGCAAGGTCTACTACTTATTGAGTATATGCACAAAGTTACAAACTCGCCAGGGAGGACAAAAATAAAAATAAAATTGGAGAGATAAGGATTAGTCACCTAACAAGTATTTGATAATGCTACTACTTTAAAATTTTCTTTCAAATGTGCTTAATTAAATGAAAATTTTGTCCAAAGCACTCTGAAACTAATAAACACATCATACTTTTCTCGAAGAGGAGGCATATCAACATCATCGTTGTTATCATCATCAACAGCAGCATCAACGTCAGCTGCACCAGAAGAAGAAGAAGTCGAGGAAGAAAATGTCAATGATCTGCAGCACATGTACAACAGAGTCCCAATGGCGATGATGACGATGTTGAAAACTTGAATGAACCCAATCAGCTCCATCCCTCTATCTGTTAGAGAAGAGAATGAAGCAATCGAAGCGAGAGTATTTTATTACAGAGAGCAGAAAGAGAATCTGAACTATTCTTGCATTTGAGACTAGATCAGATTTAGTACAGAAAAATTGAAATTGTACTAGTTCTTGTTGAGTAAGTGCATAAAGTTACAAACACACCAGCTGAGGACAAAAATTAAAAATTTGCAGAGACAGAGACTAATCACCTAACAAGTATTTGATAATACTACAACATTAAAATTTTCTTTCAAATATCACTTAAAAATCCGAATATAATTTAGGTGTACGTTTATTTTCTATTTTAACCCTTTGCTAACACCAAGCCCAAGGTTAAAACCAAATGACACGTCCTCTTTTTTCGTTATTCTCGAACTCAACATCTTGATTCTTTCACCACGAACGGCCTCAACAACCTCCGATTCCATCGAAACTTACCATATCTTGTGTCGTGGAAGAAAAATGCTCTCTTTCAATTTTCCCTAATTTAATGATATAATAAAACTAAAAATTTGGATCTTAAATTCTAAAATCAGAGAAGTCTTTCCATATAAAACAGCTCCAACAGGGTTTTCTCCTAGATGTTGAGGTCATTAATTCTGTTACACCCAACCCCCGATTTTTAAAAGGGTTTTTATCACAAATGGTTCCTGAAATTGACTCACCCAATCAAGATGAAATTGAAAATCAATCAATGTAGTCTCTGAAAATGGTTGTTGCAAATCAATGTAGTTCTTCCGTCACAATTCCGTTAAAATTTTTGTTAAGTGCTGATGTGGCACATAAATGGATCCCGCAAATTTAATTAAATATTATTATGTGAATAAAAAATATTTAAATAATAAAAAACAATTGTTACTTTTTATAATTAAAATTTTAATAAAAAAAAGAGAATAAGGAGATGATTGAACCCTCCTTTTCATAGAAATATTCACAGAAATGATGAAATTGGAAGGACAAAATCCAGTTTCCCATATGAAAGTCACAACAAACTCATAAATCCACAATTCAGAAAAGGATCTCATCGCCCTAAGTCACCAGATTTTAAAGCTCTTTGAGGTTTTTTCAAAGGCTTTGGGTCGCGTCTCCATCGCCACTAGTGAATCCTCCACCTCCACTCTCTCTCTCTCTCTCTCTCTCTGATAATATCAATTTCTCACCCTCATCATTCGAATCTTGAAAAAAAGTGAAGATTTTCTCTTTTTTCTTTTGCTTTTTCCCCTTCTTTTTCCTCTGATACGTTGGATAGATGTCGACCCTTTGCTCACTTTTTCCTTTTGCGTTAATTAGAGATTGATCTTTGGTGTTTGATAAATTTAATCTGAACCTCAGCACAGTAAAGCTCTAATCTTTGTTGGATCTCATTTGGGAAACAAAAAACTCAAGTTTTGTGCTTTTTATTGTAATTAGAGAGTTTTTTTTTTTTTTTTTTGGATTTCGTTTTTTGTGGCAATTAGTTAGTGTGGGAATTATTTCAGGTGTAAAATGGCTTCGAAAGCGAACGCAGATGGTCAGACTAGGAGCTTGGGATTTCTCCTTCCAATTTCATCATTTCTGTGAATAGGAGGGGAAAAAGATGATGTACAGTGTCCGATCATCTCCTTCTTCTTCTTTTTTTTTAATATTTTAATTATAAAAAATAACAATTGTTTTTATTATTTAAATATTTTTTATTCACATAATAATATTTAATTAAATTTGTGGGACCCATTTATGTGCTACCTTAGCACTTAAAAATTTTAACTGAATTATGACGGAAGGACTACATTGATTTGCAAGGACTACATTGATTGATTTTCAATTTCAAGGACCATTTTGATTGGATTGGTCAATTTCAGATACCATTTGTGATAAAAACCCTTTTTAAAAATAGTTTTGAGTTTTTATTTAAAAAATTATTTTTGGGTCTTAATGTGTGTGCCCGTGGAACCCTCTTTCCTTTTTGGTCTCCCCTACCTGTCCTCCTTTCTTCTTTTTTTCCTTTGGACTCGTGAGTCATTTCTCTCACTTTCTGTGCAACTCTCTCCTTCCCTCCCCTAGAATCAGCACACACGCGCACCCATTGACAGTCACCACTTCATCCACCCCCACCTAAACCTTCCAATGTGATCCACGAAACTTGGAGCAAGGTTGGAGCACACCCAAAACCTCCCCGTTCTCGTGGTGTCGTGGCGTTGCCATTGTGCATCTCCTTCTCTGGCGAGTTTTTGGATTTCTGATGATGGTAAGTCCTGAGAATCACCTAAAACTTCTTGGATCATACTTTGGGTAGTATTTCTAGTTTTTCTGAGACGTTTGGTGCAGGAAATGTCCCTGGAAACTCAAATCTAGTTTCCGACGAGAAACCAACGGCTTTCGAGCCAATTTCCAGCCAAACCACATCGATTTGGTCAGCGTGCAAGGTATCAATCTCTTTGTCTCGCTGAGAACTACAACTTTCCTTTTTGAATCACCCTATTTCGTTGAGTAATGAAGAAGTTATATCCATTTGAATCTTACCCAGTTTCTGACGACCTCTGAGGCTTTCGAGGCGTTTTCCGGCCAAACCATGGCGAGTTAGATGTCGTGCGAGGTACCATTATCTTTGTCTCGTCGAGAACTACAACTTTCATTTTTTGTTTTACTCAATTTCATTGAGTATTGACAAAGTTATGAATGTTTAAATTTTGTCTAAAATTTCAGCTGAAATCCGGCCTTCTTCTTCCTTTGGGTTCGGCGACCCATGTTTTGAATTTGGGCTGGGCTTTCTAGCCCAAAGACCTAGTGAGTTGAGGCCTATTTGGGTCGTACAAAAAGGGCCTAAGGCACGTGAAACCCCAACCCATTAACCCTAAAACCCTTCAGCCCAAACCCTTAGAACCAGCCCTTGTGGCCAACCCGAAACCCTTTAGCCCATTAATTCTATAACC